ATCAGAAGAATCTGAATTTATGTCTTGTTGCGATACTGTAATATAACAAATTTAAAGAAAAATTAGAAAACAAAATTTCAAAAATATATGGTACTTTATTTTTTTTTAATATTTTGCTATTTTTTATACCTGTTTCTGGTGGGTTTTTTGATGTCATAGATACTGATGATGGCATTGATGATAATGATTTTTTATGTTTATTGTAGCGCATGTGCTAAACATAATAATGCTTAGATAACAAAATGCTTCCAATATTTACAAAAAGATAAAATTAGATTTACAATTATTAATTAAAAATTTAAATTTTTAATTAAAAAATATTTTTACCAAATGTGGAAATCTTTGGTGGTTGACATAAAGAATGGTCACTTTCATCATCCTCTTCTTCACTAGTAGATATGTATTTAGAATTTCGTTTTGACTGTCTTTTCTTTGGTTGCTCTTTATCTTCCACTGTAGAAAACTGTACATCAGAAAACTCTTCACACTTTTTTAGTTTTTTACTAGCTTTCTGATATTCATCTATAATTAACAAAGATAACATAGTTAAATTCAAGTTTTATAAACATAACCTAATTTTTTATGCAATAAAATTTGTTAATTAAAAATATCACAATATAAAATTGTGACGTGACGCTTTTGGAGCGCCGTCACAAGGGCGAAAAGCCCGATCGGGTAGGCCCTGGGGATCTGGAGCGCCCCTCATTTCGGGGAGGGTGCGATCCGTTTGCGTTGTTTCGTTTTTATTACCGTATTTTTGCGAAAATCGCAGTTGCACGCAGCGTCGGCCTGTCGATGCGCGTACAACACGATTCGTAGGGAGAGCGACAAAGACGGCTCGAGAGAGCGGACAGCGAGACTTTGTGAAGCAAGAGAGAGACGGAGGATGCCGGAATGCCGCAGCTGAGAGAGAAGGATGGAGCGAGAGCGAGAGAGAGAGAAAGCACGGGACCTCGCGCAATTAAGTATCGATTAGCCACAGTTTAATTTGATATCTCTCGCGCAAAAATTATGCGGGTGAAACTATTATAGATACCGAGAGGACTCTGAGCAAGATCAACCCCGGGGCCGATTCTGGAGGGAGACGACGGAGGGCCCGGCCAGCCTACCGCCTATTCCCACAGGAGAGATGCTACAGGAACATACCCGGAGAAAAATCCTCTTGAGCAGCAGGAAGATACTGAAGAGAGAATCACCCCAGCTAAGGGGAAGTAAGGGGAGACCTTATGGCCCCCGCCCTCGACCCTATCATCGAGGGAATGCGCGAGAGATCGGCGCGGCAAGGAAGGTACCGAGACGCGCGAGGCCCGACTCTCCACTGTTCGGTGTGCCTTAGAACAGAGAGGGTGCCTCCAGAACTCCAAGCGTGCGACCCGAGGACAAGACTTCACCGCCAAAAACTGTAAGCCGCCTCTCGAGTAGTCGTAGATCCGTGTTGGTTGGTGCCGTGGATATTGATCGTATCTCGTAATTACCGTGAGTACCGCACTCTCTCATTTTTCGTATCGTTTTGTGTGCGAGAGAGCGGTCTCTCTTTCCTCTTTTTTCGAGTACCGTCGCGAGGCCAGCCGACTTCGCGTTTCGCGAGCCGAGCCCCCTCCGAAAAGTGCCGCCGACAGTCCATCGTTTCGAAAGTAATTATCATAAATTCGGGTTACCGAGATATTCAGAGTCACGTTTCTTATATGCTCGATTATTAGGTTTTCGGAATTTGCGTGTAGCCGTTCTCCGCGAGTTTGTTAAATATTTCATTTTTTCGATTCGGCAAGAGAGTCGTGCGAGAGAGTCACGAAATTACCGTCATCTATTTATTACCTTTTTTTGCATACCGCGCCGTGTCTCGAAGTATCTTATTGTGACCTCTGTCTATACCGCGTGTCCGCGATAATAAGTTGGACCATCATAACGTTTACCGATTTTGTCTTTGTTTATCCCGTTCGTATACAATTGTCGCGAAATTATCTAAGATGTTTCACATTGTATAATTAATAAGAATTTTGTAGATCAATTCCGAAATACCGATATTCGCAGATCTTATGATATACTTTTGTTTCTCTACCGCTAGTTTATATATTACTGTTTGTTACATAATTATATTATCCAATTGTATTTATCAGATGTCAAATTGTAAATCCTAAGTGTCAAATATATATATTTGTCAAATTATAACACCACGTGTATGTCTCTCTATACCTTCTTCTTCTTCTTCTTCTTCTTGTTTGGCTGAAGCTATAAAAGCTCATACACCAAAGTGATAAATATAAGGCCAACTTATCGAGTTGAATATTTGAGATGTTCAGTCAACTACCATTTATTACATGTATAAATTATAAAACTACAGTCATTAGATATTAAAACTAACGCAATTTACAATCATTCTACAAACGTTTCGACCGCACGCGGTCTTCTTCAGTATAATTATTGAAATATAAATTCATACAACTTCACATAATATCGAAATTTAATTATAGTTATTCAGAATTGAGAGTTTTTGAGCAATTAACGCATGTTCTAATCCGTCATGTCCAACAATGTTCGCCTCGATATGATCTCTGATTTTGCTCAGATCTCGGATAGTTTCATCGTTAATATGCGAGAAATTAACTCGTTCCGTAGGCGCTATCATCGTCCTTCTTGACAATTTTGCTACTTATTAACAGTTATTAAGGATGACACATAACAAACCAACAATACAGAAAGACAGCTCCTTTTAAACTCTCATACACCAATTTTAGACGGTTGAGATGTGATAGGCTTCAGTCTTTTTTTTTTTTTTTTAAATATCCCTAGTTCTCCTCAATGCTCATTGGTTCTTTTCGATGAGATCTATATCTTGACTCCTGTGCGCTTCGTAAACTTGTATAGTTCCTCGTAGATTATGCTCTGCTTGGAGAAAGCAAGGTGTGGCACGTCCAAAACAACAGTAGGATCACTCAGACAAACAGCAGATATGAGCCTGTCGGAAAATACACAAAATTCAGGACAGTTAAAGAAAATATGGTTAAGGTTCTGGAATGGATGACCACAAGGACATTCCGACGATTCGACAATATTTTTTTCCCAGAGGTGTCCCCCAAGCGAGACGTGGTGAGATCTAATTCGTGATATCATGACCACCAACCCTCTTGGCAGCTCTCGATCCGTTAGGCTATACCACGGAGGAGAAAGCACAGATTCAACCAGACTAAAGTATCTGGCCCCCTTGTGCCTACTTTGATTAATTAGGATTCTAATGGCTTCTTCTTTCGCCTCTTTTTTAAATTTGAAATACAGGTTAGTGTAATGACACTTACTCACCAGGAATGGGTCGTCAAGGTTCAAAGACTCCTTTGCTAACGCGTCAACGTATTCGTTGCCGGCAATTCCCCTATGACTAGGGATCCAGTAAATTTTTATACTTGTTCCCCCTTGCTCACAAGAATACATCAAGTTCCTGATCCTCACAATTAAATTATGAGTATTACCGGAAACCCGAGATTCTGCAAACTGGAAAGGACGCTCAAGGAATCAGAAAAGATCACTCTTTTATGGATATCATTTACCGAATTGAGAATGAAATCTAGGGTATAAATTATGGCGCACGCCTCTGCCTTTTTTTTTTTTGACGCTGGGGAAACCGTCATGATACCGCACACCCTCGGGTAGGGGTGCGGGTTATGTGGGACTCCTTGTTTCCCTTGATCGAGCCACGAATAGTTCGACTAGGGGGCCCAAGACCTACCTCACTAAAACCCCAGCGGGTGTCCTGCTCGGGCGTTGGATAGGGAACGGCGAGGATGCTGGATTCCATGCCGTCTCGCCGCCCCCCCCGCCAAGCCGTTTCCGGGGAGCTGCCTCGACCTTGCGGCCGAGACCCCCCCCCCCCGATTGCACAGTCAGTGACTGTGCGGTTTCCTCGCGGTTGCGGCGCAGGGCGAACACCGGCCCTACGCCGCGCCCTTCCAAAGAGTTTGGGGGGCGGGGCCATGGCTCGAGAGCTCCCGCTCGAGCCATCGCCCCCCGCCTCCAGAGTGGTGCTCCCTCCCCCTCCCAGAGGGAATGGGGATTCGGCATTCACCCTGAAGGCCCTCACCAGGGAAACCCTTTCCTGAAGGGGAAGGGGCCCTCTACGGCGTTGATGCCCTGCCACCGGTGCCTCATGGCTTCCGGTGACAGGGCCCTCCCGCCGCATCTTCGTCCATGAGGGGAGAGGTCGCACCCCACAAGGCCGTGCAGAGCCCGACCCCGCGGACGAGCGACCCCTCCCCTCGGTTCCCCCGGTTGCGGCTCCCGCCGTTCCCTTAGAAGTTGGCATTCGGCCACAACCGAAGGGATTTCCCTTCCGGGCGCGCAACCACACCCCCTGAGGGGGTGATGCGTCCGCGCGCCCGGCTCTTGTGAGGCTCTCGGGGTGGGAGGGGGAATTCTGGGGACTTATTTGTCCCCAGCCCCCCCCCAGGAACCTCATCCTGCGTCAAAACTTGACGCAGGTGTGTTGGGGGGGGACCCTCCCCCCGATCCGCACCGCCAAAAACGAGCGAGCTCGCCGACGGCGCGGAAAGGGAGGGCCCGGCCCCGCCCTCCACGTTTGCTCTCCTTTTCTTTCGGAGGTTGTACCCCCCCCCCCCGACCCCCGCCGCCATCGACCGGCAAGCCCGTCGATGGCGGGGGAGGAGGAGGGGGCACACCTTCTCCCTCCGTATTTCCTCTTTCTCCTCTTCTTCTTCTGGGGACGCACCCCCCCCCCCCCGATCCCCGACACCACGAACGGGCAAGCTCGCCGATGCCGGGGAAAGAGGAAGCACGTCCCTTCTCTCCATCTCTCCCTCTCTCTCTCTTCTCTCCCTTTCAGCCTCCTCCTTCTGCAGCATAACCTTGCTGCAGAAGGAGGAGAACGCCTTCCAAGATTCTTCATTATCTGTCATTGCCCTCACTATCGAGGGCAATGACAGATCCATCCCCACCGCGGCCACGAGCTCCGCTCTTTCACCCGCCCAGGCAACACACTCGGCGAGTGTGTGCTAGGCGGTATCACGCTCGTGGCCGCAGTGATGGCACCGCGTTGTGCGCTCCTTCCCAATCCTGTGCAGGTACTCACCGAAACAACCATGTCCGGTGAGCACCTGCGTCGTGTGAAAGGACACCTCTCCTTTGGCCCTGTCTAGCCAATTTTCCAGACAGGGCCGTATAGCCCCAACGGTGCGCTGTCCTGGCAGCTTCGGATCAGCGAGGCTGTCCCTCCATTTCTGGATCAGCGCCCGTCGGGAGTGGACCCTCATTGCCCGCCGGAGACCATCCGTTACTGTGACCCCCGCCCGCTGATATTCGCGTGTACGCGTGTACACATCTGCGTACATGCGGGCGAGCATCTCCACGGAAGGCACTCCGGAGAGTACCCCCACGGCTACCCAGCTCACTGTACGGTAGCCCCGGCATATCCTATTGGCCGCCCGCCTCTGCAGCTGCCTCATGGCATCTCTTGGGCCGCGGGTGGCCTCCAGGCATTTTACCCATACCGGGGCTCCGTACAGGAGCATGGCATGGATGGTTCCGGCGTACAATTTTCGGACACTCCCGCCAGGCCTCCCAAGGTTGGGCAGCAGGCGCTGCAGCGCCATTGCTGTCTTCTCCACCTTGGGGGATATACGGCGGAAGTGCTCCCGAAAGGTCCACTTACTGTCGAGGTGGAGGCCCAGGTACTTTAGACAGGCCCCCACCTCTATCGAGGTGTCCTCCACACTGATGTGGGCTCGTGGTGGCGCCCCATGAGAGCCATCGTGTAGAAAGATGGCCTCAGTTTTCTGGGGCGCCACTTTGAGTCCCATCTGCCTCACAAGTCGCACAACGCGGTGTACCGCAATATTCGCTCGAGCGGTTGCATCTTCCCACGAGTCTCCCCCGGCCATCACAAGTGTGTCGTCAGCGTAGCACACCGTGTGACAGCCGGAGGGGAGGGCCTGCCGAAGAACATTGTCATACGCGAGGTTCCACAGCAGGGGGCCAAGTACCGACCCCTGCGGAACCCCGCACGTCATCTGACGTTTCTGTTCTTCGGCGTTCCGATCGGTATAGGCCAATCGCCTGTCCCGGAAATAGTCCGCCAGGATTAACACCAGATATGGGGGACCCGGTGGTACTCCAGGGCCGCCCCAATCCGGTGCCATGGCAGGGTGTTAAATGCGTTTGTTATGTCCAAGGACACAGCAAGCAACACCCCGCCTTCCTCCGTTACGGCCTCCGAGATCGAACGGACCCGAAGAATCGCGTCTATCGTGGACCGTCCGACCCGGAAGCCGTATTGCTCCTGACTCAAGTTTGGACCTTCTCGGGACAAGTGGTAGACGAGGCGGTCGGCTATGATCCTTTCTAGGATCTTACCCGCCTCGTCTATTAGGCAGATTGGCCTATACGCCGAGGGTATATCCCTCGGCTTGCTCTCCTTAGGAAGGAGGACTATGTTTGCCTCCTTCCATTCTCGTGGGAAGGAGCCCATGCGGAGGCACTCGTTGTACATCCTCCGCATGGGCTCTGCAAGACCCCGATAGGCGAGAGCCCAGATTCTCCCGTACGCCTCTGCCTCGAATATTGAACAAAAGTTATTTATGCGGGTTTTACTTTCAAGGTCAATATCCGACGAGAAAACAGCAAATCTAACTCTATTAACAGATTCACTTCGGGAGCCGTCCGTATAAAAAACCACATCCCTAACCCCATGTCTGAGGAATTTCTCAAAAGCCTCCGGAATATTATTTTCCTTCAGCAGTCTAAAGCCTAACTCTGTATCCACAAACAACTCAACATGCCGAATCTCATAAGGGAAGTCCAATGACCCGGGCAGGCTAAATCCCTCGACCTGTTCAAGCTCCTCTCTATCTCGCAAAAAATTTTTTATCAGGGGACCACAGTCCTTCTCAATATCGTTATGAATCCCTGTGCTTATTATGTCTCTAATCATGCCTCTAATAGGGTGCGATAGACAAGCGTTAATTTTGCAGAGGAATTTCCTTACAAGAAAACTCCATCTAGATGCCAGAGGAAACTCCCCATTCACATCCAAAATTACATTAGTAGGTGTGGTGCACATCATCCCTGATACGACTCTCAGAGCTGCAAACTGAAGTCTACATACCTTTGTGTACAGTACGGGATCAAGAGGATGGAACACCTGACATCCCCAATCCAAAAGAGGACGAATAAATCCCTTATAGACCATAAGCAAATTCGATGGGCGGACTCCCCATCCCATCCCAGCTATAGCCTTTAGCACATTTATCCTTTTGATGATCCTACTTTTTAGATGATTGAAGTGGGACTTCCAATTTAACTCAGTGTCTAAATACATCCCCAGAAAACGCGTCTCCCAGGAGAAAGGGATAGTCTCATCTCCCAATTTGATGACAAATTTTCTCCGCCTAATAAGAATTTGCAAGTTGTTATTTCTGAGTTTTGAGAACACTGAACAGGCAGATTTCAACGGAGCTATACTCAAGCCAAGAATCTTAAGGAAGGCATTAACTTTCTCCAGAGCGAGATTCAGAAGGTCACTCACGTGTTCGAGCTGAGAACCTGAGCAGTAGATAATCATGTCATCCGCGTAAGTCAGGGCCCTCACACCCTCCGGCAAACACGAACTCACTCCCGCTATATATATGTTAAATAAGATGGGGCTCAGTATTGAGCCCTGCGGGAGCCCCCTAAACGTAAGTCTCCTTTTTAAAGCCACCCCCCCTGAAAAGCCAGTAATATGACAAGTAACCATATCTTTAATGAATTTTAAAAACTTATATGGGAGACCGCACTTCTCCAGGATACCCACCAAGGTTCCAGGAACAACATTATCAAAGGCGTCCACCAAGCCGATAAAGACCACTCCTGTATACTCTCTGCACGAGTTTGCCCTATAAATATTCGTTACCAAAATCGATACATTGTCCATACATGATAGCCCCCTTCGAAACCCGAACTGAAATTCCTTCACCACCTGATTATTTTCGGCTCACCATTCAAGCCTTTTATGAACAAGCCTCTCAAAGATCTTATGAAGGTTATTCGCTAGGGAAATAGGTCTTAATGATCCCCCACCCCCCGGTTTTGGAATGAATACTGTAAAGTATTCCCTCCACTTCACAGGGTATATGCCCTTATTAAAAAAGGCATTAAAGATCTTGAGGATCAGGGCCATAGTCTCAACAGGCAACTTTTTAATGATCTTGTTGGATATTAAGTCTGGGCCAGGTGATGACTTCATTTTGAGGGATGATATCACCTCCAGGAACTCCGCTCAAGAGAAAGGCCTCATCATGAAAGAACATTCCGCCCTCAAACGATTAAAATTAATGTTGTCAGGCAATTGCTCTTCACTGTATGCCGGGGGCTGATCTAACGAAGGAGGAGCCAACTTATCAAATGCCTTATGAAAGTCCTCCTCCGATATTACAATATTACTATTTTTGTTACCCCTCTTATTAGAGAAGGCTCTAATATATGTCCAAACTTTAGATATAGGCATTTTAGGATTTATAAAAGAGCAAAATGCTTTAAAAGAATCCCTTTTTTTTGCGAATATTTTTGAAGAGGCCCTGCGTGAAGCCTTATAATTATCGAGATTAGCAATCAAAGAATTATGTTTGTATTCTCGTAACAAAAGATTTTTATTTCTTATGATCTTCATTTCTCGTCCCACCAAGGGGCTGGTGCCTTCTTCCAAGGATTGTTATTTTTCTTTCTGGCACCAGAAGTGCGTAGCACACTATGTAAAGAAGAGATCAAACTATTGTATGTACCATTTAGGTCTTCCATCTCTATGCCAAAAGACTGAGTAAACTCCACACAGAAACCCCGAAAAACAGACCAATCAACATCCCCTGTCGCGAATGATGGTCTACCGAATCCAGCGCCTGTCAAAGACGCAACGCTGTTAATACTCGTGATAATAGGAAAGTGGTCACTCCCGTAACTAGAGGGTAAAATCTCCCAGTCACACATATGTGCAATACACTCAGAAGTGAGGGTAATGTCCAAGGCAGAAGATCTGGACAAGTCCGCCAATGACCATGTGTTCTGACCGTTATTGTGGCAGTACAAATCCACCTAACTAATTGCAGACTCAATTTTCCTCCCTCCAGGTCAGGAGCCAAAATCTGATGACCACAGAGCACTTTTCCCATTGAAATCCCCACAAACAACGACAGGTGAGTAGCCGCTGCATATCTGCAAGACCTTCAACCAGGCTCTCGCTTCAGTATGATGCAGACCGCTCCCACGTGGAGGACTATAGACAGAGCACACGAACAGGCATGCATCAGTCTCAACCCAAACCTTACCGAAAATTACCTCAATGTTGTTCCTAGAAGAAACCTCATTCAGGCGCGCGTCGTTCACCGGAGAGAATCTAAGGGCCCTATCCACCAAGATTGCAACACCGCCACGGCTGTTGCGGTTATTCGCAAAGATCTCATAATTGGCAAAAAATGGAATCCTGTCTTCCTTCAACTTTGTCTCACACAACGCAGCAACCCCAATCTTATATTCGTCCATCATGTATCAGGAGACGCGGTAGTGTCTCCGGCCATGTTCAAACCCTAAAAGACCTTAAAAGACACTACAAATCTCCTTATCCTGCACCATCAAAGTCCATTTTTTGGGGGTGTAGAACTACTAAAATATAAAAATTTTGAATTGCACGTAATATAACCTGAAAGGCGGCATCGCCACGAGTAATTTGAGCCAAGAAAGAATAAAATCGGTCAAGCCGTTCTGGAGATACAAACGGTCAAAAAGTGACGTTTTTCATGAAAAATGAAGTAACGTCGTCTTCTTCTTCTTCTTCTTCTTCTTCTTCTTCTCTGTCCGCGTCCGCTGACGTTATCAGGATTATATATATATATATATATAAATCTCTTCTCACCTTTCACTCACACCTCCCAACTTCCACCCACCCCTTTCCCTCCCACATCCCGCCACCACCCCCACCCCCACTCCCACTTTTTTCGCCTCTTTCACCCTCTTTCACCCTCTTTCGTCCTCTTTCACCCTCTTTCGTCCTCTTTCACCCTCTTTCGCCCTCTTTCATCCTCTTTCGTCCTCTTTCTTTCACCCTCTTTCGCCCTCTTTCATCCTCTTTCGTCCTCTTTCACCATCTTTCGCCTCTTTCACCCTCTTTCGTCCTCTCTCACCCTCTTTCATTCCCTCTCACCCTCTTTCACCCTCTTTCATTCCTCTCACCCCCTTTCGTCCTCTTTCACTCTCTTTCGTCCTCTTTCACCCTCTTTCGTCCTCTTTCACCCTCTCTCGTCCTCTTTCACCCTCTTTCGTCCTACCTCACCCTCTTTCGTCCTCTCTCACCCTCTTTCACCCTCTTTCGTCCTCTTTCGTCCTCTTTCACACCTCTTTTGTCCTCTTTCACCCTCTTTCGTCCTCTTTCACCCTCTTTCATTCTCTCTCACCCTCTTTCATTCCCTCTCACCCTCTTTCACCCTGGTTCGTCTTCTTTCACCCTCTTTCATTCCCTCTCACCCTCTTTCGTCCTCTTTCACTCTCTTTCGTCCTCTTTAACCCTCTTTTATTCTTTCTCACCCTGTTTCGCCCTCTCTCACCCTCTTTCGTCCTCTTTCACTCTCTTTCATTCTCTCATTCTCTTTCACCCTCTTTCGTCCTCTTTCACCCTCTTTCGTCTTCTTTCGTCCTCTTTCGCCCTCTTTCACCCAATTTCGTCCTCTTTCACCCTCTTTCGCCTATCTCGTCTTCTCTTACCCTCATTCGTCCTCTCTCACCCTATCTCCAAAAAATCATAAAAATGAAAAGGTCAAGCCATGTTCAAAAGAAG